CACGTCGCTTCCTCCCGAATTCATGGAGTTCGTGCCGGTGGAACATTAAGCGTGCAACTGCCAGGGCTGCTCGTACATACACGCCGGCGTGTCGTAAAATTTTGGGGAAAGTCGCGCCGTATCCTTTCACTTTTCCATCAAACGCCTCATTAAAGACGCGCAGCATTACTATTAATATGAATGACGATCGGAGTTGAGTTCACGTACCCTATTGACCAGAAACGCGACAGGGAAGAAGAGGGAAGGGACGTGTGTTCGGAGAAAAGCGTCCCGCGAAAACGCGTCGTTTATTCGCGCAGAGCCGGTTGTTATTAATGACCGATTAATAATTAATGAGGGAATCTTCCGACAGGAGAGACGCCGTTCACGCTACAGCAAGAAACCCTCGCGGCTCATTCTCGGGACTCGCCGTCGAACTCACGCGATCGCGCGCATTTTTTCGAAGGGCGCACGACCACCCTTCAAGTGCGCGAAAAAAGGAAAAGAGAGACGAAGAAGTGGAGGAGGAGAACGAAGCGCGTCGTAGAGAAACGCACACTCCTCTCGGATTCACGCCTCGGTAGACCCGCCGTGGCGCGCACGCAACATAAAAGTTTCCAATTATAATGCACGCCATGTGTGTGTGTGTGTATGTGTGTGTGTGTATGTATGTGTGTGTATGATACTTCATTTCGTCCGTCGTCAATTAAAAGCCACGAAACGCCCGGCGGCCATCGCTACCGAGTAATTTGCACGCCGGTAGCGCGAGTACCTTCTGGAAGAGATGCCCGAGAGAGCACGGGCTCATTATTGACCGTCCTGCCGCGGGTCTCATCGAGATATTGTACTGTACTGAACTGTCGGGCAACGTTGTACGTAACAATTGTGAGGGAGGGAAAGAGTGGGCCGCGGGGAAAGGGAGGGGGAGGGGGGTGAACGTCTCCCGATGAGATAATTACGCGCGAGATAACCGCGAGTGCGATACGCTAGCGCAGAGTTCATCCAGTCGTATTAACCGAGAGATCCAATGAATCCTTCATCGAAATCCAACGGATCGTCGTTGAAATAACGACGTCACGCACGCTGACAGAGATTCATTCATCACCTGTTATCGTGAAATTTCAGCTTCGCATTCATTTCGTCGATACTTATCCGAATAACCAATCGGTCGTCAAACAAACGGTATCGCGCATATTCCCGGCACGGAAGATGCTAAACGGTGATGACGGTGCAGAGAGAGAAATTTTTTAGAAGTGAAACGACCGAGCATCGTCGTGCCGGACGTTTATTCTCATCTTAGATCGCGGATTGATATTTCCTACTTTGCCGTATCGGCCGCGCGTGTAATTCGTGTAATTTTCCAAGTAGAAAAATTTTCAGGAACTGATCACTGGCCAGAAACTGGCCAGTTTTTACTGACTAGGATTTATTGGGCAGTAACTATTTAGAAACTGGACAAGAAAATACTGGTCGGTATTTCTTGGCCAGTTATTGGCCAAAAACAGGATAAGAAAAAATGCTAATTGCTAGAAATAAAGTTACAATTATTTCAATAATAAATAAGTTTATACGTGAAAAGGCTCTACCTTCTGAAACATGAGTTTCACGTTATTTTTACATTAAATATCCACTTACTGACGAAGCAAGTATCGCATAAACTGACCAGAAACTAGCCAGTAATCAAAATTCCTGGCCAGTCACTCGCTAGGAAGAGGTCGCTCTTACTATTTAGGTTTCTCGCATGTCGCGTCCGTGCAGATTTCTCAGCGGGTTGGTTAATGCAAAGTTAATTAAGCACATTACAAATCGACCGTCAATCGAGAGGTGACTGAATAACGGTCTCATTTAGACGCGAGATACATTTATCATCTTTACCGTAATATTTATCGGAAGGGACACGAATAACGAGCTGAGTCTGTATAACGAGCTTTCGCTTCGAAACGGACCATACGGCCCTTGGGGATGCTTGAGCGGCGATTAATCGTTAAAAATTGCGGTCTATCTCGATCTAGAATCGAAATGTGCGCCGCGCATGCGACCGTATTAACATACGACATTAGGTATTCCGCATGCGAAGCTCGCTTATACTAAGCTCGCGTTCGCACAGCTTTACTTGGATTTCTACAGTAATTACACGTACGAAATGGGCACTCTCGTGCGACGTCGATACGGTTAGCGTAAAGCTCGATTTACGCCCAGAACAAGTGGCATTGAAAGATAACGCTAAGGACGATGTGACGCCAATACCATGTCCGCAAAAACTCAAGGCCATTTGAGTCGAAATTTTAAAATTCTACACCATGCAAATTCCGTTAGAGAAATGTCAAAAATTTCTTTTTCAATGCAATAAAATGACTAAAGTATAAAGAAAATATTAACAGATTCATGATGTAACTTGAAGCTCAAAAAATATTACTAGAAAACAAATGAACACAATTGATGCACAAATCAGCACAAGATCGAGACTTGAGGTACGATCCACTAGATACTGCAAACATTTTGAAGTGTTAAAAAAAAAAGAAATTGGTCTAATACGGCGCTTCAAAGCATTTGTAACATCTAATGAATCACACCCTTAAACAACCTTTTAAATTTTGACTTAGGTGTTTATTTTTAGTAAATGCGTCAAACGATTTATATTACTTTACGAAGTATATTACTTTAAAACTTTTATATGATAAATGGAAATCAGTGCGGCTTTCAACGTGTTAAAATATGTGGCACACACTTGAAAATATGCGATGCGTCTTGCCCACGTGCCGGCGTCCTGCGTTCTAGCTTCCTGGTTTGGCATCCTAGTTCCCGATATAGCGCTCACTGGCACTAACACTCGCGCAGATACGACGATTTGATCAGAGAAACGCGTGTTAATTAACGCAGTGCCGACGAGATGCACGATTAAATATTCCGAGTTCCGACGGGAATGATAAACGCGCCAGCCGATGCACGTAGTCCGCGTCGCTCGTCGGTTCGAGACGTTATGACTCGGTTACGGACAAGTACACGACGCGTGAGGTGTAGAATATTATAATACAATATTACATAGAATATTACAATATTCTTGGTTATTATATATTCTTGATTAATATTTTTGGTACCAATAGTAATAATATTATTACTTATATATGAGAAAATGATGTGTGATATTTGTCTTGATAAAAACTAATTTATCTCCTCAATATCATATAATCTTATTTTAATATTAATCTTATTTTTTTTAAATGTCAACGATAAAAATATTCTCCAAACAAAAATATGCTTTCTTTCTGTGTATGTCCCAATAGAGATTTAATTAAATTCAGTATAATAAGACTAAACTAAAATATAACAATCGAGATCTACGAAGAAGTTCAACGGTACACGCCTGACAAAGGACAAGTACATAAAATGACAAGTACATAAAAACAATCAGCGCGGTTTCGAATCTCCGAGACAGAGACGGAATGTTTTGAAAGCGCTGATTGTTTTTATGTACTTGTTACTTTTTGTCAAGCTGCTATATACTGTTGTCCTTCTTTGTAGATCTCGATTGTTATGATGGTACGTTATCAGGGCCGTCATACAATACCGACAGTGCCCGAGTCGAACTTTATAATCAATTGCAAGTCTCACGACTGCTGGTTTGTGTCTCCAATAATGTTCCTTCTTTTTATTTCAGTTCAGTCTTGTTACAGCGAATTTAATTAAATCTCTCTATTGGGACATACACAAAAAAAGAATATTTTTACTTGGAGAATATTTTTATCGTTGACATTTAAAAAAAATAAGATTAATGTTAAACTAAGATTATATAGTATGAAAAGATAAATTAGTCTTTAATCAAGATAAATATAACCAAATTAACACAATCATTTTCTCATATATAAGCAATAATATCAATATTGCCGGTACCAAGAATATTAATTAAGAATATATAATAACTAAGAATATTAATATTGTAATATTCTATGAGAAAGTGATTGCGTTAATTTGACTATATTTGTCTTGATTGAATTTATCTTCGTTCAACCATATGATTTCATTTTAACATTAATTAAAAATTGTTTATTAAAATTAGGAATAAAAACTGTATATAAATAGAATATCGAGAGATAAACAAATATTAAATAATTCCGAGTACCTATTTTCTAAAAATGCTTATGATACGGAACGCGAAATGATTCTAGAGGCTCTTAGCAACTTTCTGATGTGATACGAAAGAAAATGTCTCGAAAGAGAGATACATATATTCACGGGAAACATGTCGTTTCATCTCGAAGAAATTATAGTGATCTATAGTTTAATACACGATGCCAATTAATGTACAAACGATTCTCAACAACGCGTGATACCTAACGGGGCGTGACGAAATAACGCAAATTACTATTGGCGTACGTGACGAACGAAATCGCTGATGTGTACAAGACGATTTAGCGCGAAAATATGCCCGGGAAGTCATTTCCGTGAAGTTGTAACTCTCGTTCGACATCACGAGCTCTCACCGGTGATCAAGCGTGAAAAAGTGTATTGCAGGCACAAGGATACGTTAGTTTGGCCTTTAGCTGACGCGTTGCACATGGTGGCTACCGATTTTTGCGACAAGCAGAGACGGAAATCGCAGTGGTGCACATTTGCTAACCATAACCTCGTAAACGTTAACTTCCTCCATTCGCCGCCGATTACTCGTTATAATAATATAGAATTTGGACTTGTATTATTTTACGCGCGATCGGAAACGACTGTCGTGCGATAATTTTGCGCCCGACTACGGACACAGTATTTTATGTATTTTACATATATGCTTATTTGACGTTCGACATATTGTCGAATGATGTGGTCATTCTAAATTAAGTGATAACAGATGTCTACATTCAAGAAAAAAATGTCTAAAAAATAAATATTTATTCGGCGGGTATAATAACGTATTTACTTAAGAATACTTTTATTTAAATCGCTCAAATCGTTTTCGTAAAGAGCTAAGGTTTTAAGCGTTGCACGCGTTTTAAGGGAACGTATATTTTATTATCTGGAAAATATTTTATATTGGTATAAGTGAATATATATTATCATAGTGCCACCGAATAAATTGTCTTCGTTTCTTAAATAACTTTTCTCTCAATCTGTATCATTTAAAAAGATATGGCAGTATCAGTACAACATTTATCCAAGCTCTGTGTGCGTACGCACGCACAGTTGCAGCTGCAGTCGCGCCGAGAAAGAAAGTTAACGCAGCGCGACGCAGCTCAATCGCATACGCGTTAATAGATATTTAACACCGCGAATTCGGTGACAGGTCGAACTTTAGAAGCAGTCGTGAAGCAGATCTGCAGGCGTGTTCGTTTCCTGGACTCGCCCAGGCGGTTTTTTTTTTGCGAATGTAAAGCAAGCCGCGTACGTATAATGTAAGCGATGAGGTGCAGGGAAAGTGCCAAGCTATTATACCGCGGGGTATATAAGGCTCAGCCTAGAAAACGAAGCGGTTCAGTTAGTGGTCATACGCCACGCTAAAACATACGCGAACTCGAGAATGAATATTAAGGTAAGTCGAATTCATCGGCCCGATGATATCAGGTGCAATTTCATTTCGGAATTCGGAACTGAAACGCATATGTGGGGATTTGCAAAGTTTCTTTTCGTTCGCATAATGCAAAGTGAACGTCTCTACCTCTCTTTCTCAATTGCCCGAAGCAATAAAAAAGATATCGCGGATCTGGAGTATATAAAAATATTGTCGAACAACCTGACGCGTGTATACACATGAATTCTTACCGTCTGCTCATTAGCTTTCATTACGAAAGCTCCGATTAAAAGTCGAGGAAATTGAAAAAATATATATCTGACGCGATTTCAGATCGCCATCCTTTTGGTGGCACTGGCCACCCAAGTTCTATGCGCGAAAGAATCGAGCGAGGTGGACGACACGACGAGCTCGCGGAACGTCGAGGGGGACCTGACGGAGAAGAAGACGGAGAAGCGCGGGCTGCATCATAGTTTCGGTGACCTAGGGGGCGGCGACCTCCACGGTGGTGGCGGCGGCGGCGGCGGCGGCGGCGGTGGCGGTTCGTACGACCAGCACGAGCACGTGAAGACTGTGACAGTCGTGAAGAAAGTGCCGGTACCATACGAAGTAACGAAGCACGTGCCCTACCTGGTGGAGAAGCACGTGCCCTACGAGGTGAAGGTCGGCGTGCCGCAGCCCTACACCGTTGAAAAGCACGTGCCCTACCCGGTGAAGGTGTTCGTCAAAGTGCCGGTGCACGTGCCGCAGCCGTACACCGTCGAGAAGAAGGTGCCGTACGAGGTGAAGGTGCCGGTTGACAAGCCCTACGAGGTCAAGGTATTCGTGCCGCAGCCCTACACCGTGGAGAAGCACATACCGGTGCCGGTGAAGGTGCCGGTGCCGCAGCCTTACACGGTCGAGAAACACGTGCCCTTCCCGGTGAAGGTGAAGGTGCCAGTGCCGCAGCCCTACGCGGTCGAGAAGCCGGTGCCGTACGAGGTGAAGGTGCCGGTCGATAAACCGTACCCGGTGCCGGTGCCAAAACCGTATCCAGTCACCGTGGAGAAGCCGTACCCGGTGCCAGTGGAGAAGCCGATCCCGTACGAGGTGAAGGTGCCGGTCGACAAGCCCTACCCGGTGCCGGTGGAAAAGCCCTACGCGGTGCCGATCAAAGTCCCGGTACCGCAACCGTACCACGTGCACAAGCCGGTGCCGGTGCCGGTGCACAAGCCGGTGCCGGTGCCGATCAAGGTGCCGGTCGACAAGCCCTACATCGTCGAGAAGGAAGTACCGGTGCCGGTTGAGAAGGAAGTGCCGGTGCCGGTGAAGGTGCCGGTCGCTGTGCCGGTGCACATCAAGCACGACGATTACGGCGGTGACCTGGGTGGCGGTTACGGAGGTGGCGGTTACGGAGGTGGCGATTACGGCGGTGGCGGTTACGGCGGTGGCGGTTACGGCGGTGGCGACGGTTTGGACGGACACGGCGGCGGCGGCGGCGGCGGCGGCGGCGGCGGCGGTGGTTATGATTTCTCGCACTCGATACACGGTTGAGATGAGATATCCTTGCTCGCGAAACGCGCGGATCTACATCGGACGTCCATCGTCGACGTAATTCGCGCGCGCTTAAATCAGGTCGCTTCATCGAGTCTCAATCAAGGTCGCGGAAGCTGTACGACGAAATTTCAACAGCTTTCAGAGCGGGACTCCTCGCCGCGAGATGAGAGAGGCAATACGTGGCTGACGTATTAGCTATCACGATCGACGCGTATAATTTTCTATTATATTTTTGGAAATCCGGGTAGACGTACACGTAACAACGTAGTGAACATTTCGACGTCGAAATGTTCTCAGGCTGTATATCACGGGAGGAGGAGCTTGCACAGGCGAAATCGTGAGGGACGATCTATCGCGCGCATCAATAAAGTAGCACGTTCAGAATCTATACGAGAATGTACACACCGTTTCCATAATCCAAAGAAAGAAAATAAAAAAAAAGAACAGGAAAGGAGAAAACGCACACGAGTACGTGTAACTCCCCGCGGAGCGTTATCGGCTCAACGTTCGCGCGAACCCGTTGCGTTCGAGCATATAGTATTGCTGTGAGAAGTATGTTCACCATACTGAAAAACATTGTACCTAAGTAAGTTAAGTAAAAAATATCCCGTTGCGGAAAGAATATGTATGTTTCGTTTATATATATATATATATATATACATATCAAAAACTTAATAAATGCTCATGTGTATTATTATATCTTTTTTCCGATTATTCCTTGTCCCAAGACATGAGAGGAGATCAATGAGACAACGCGACGTTCTTCAGAATGACATCTTTCACGATCAGATCTCGAACACACGCAAAATAACGCGGTGAATAACGTACGAGTGTTTGTACGGCGATCGCGCGTACGGTGTAACGCGCAGATTCACGGCGGCGCGACGTAACCAGCGAGTATAAATCAACGTCGAGATTCACTTTCTCGAGAAAATTTCGTTGACTGCTAGACGCGAGTGCAGAGTTTCACTCTTCTGAATTCGTTGTTGCCCCCGGCGAGAAAAAACGCTGGCATGCGTTTTCGCTCGCGCCTCGCGTCGACACGCAAACGTTATTTGCGAAAAGAAACAGTGAGATCAATCAAATGAAATTTCATGTTGAAAGAAGGCTATACTCTCGAAATTTGAACTGATCTCGACGCTTTTTTGGTTTTTAATAAAAGCTAATAGGATTTGGGACGACTTGGTCAAGCTAGCTTTTTGTTCTTTGCTTTCCTCTCCTTTTACATCAGACATAAAGAAGCTAAATTTGGAGATTTTTATTTATCTGATGTTAAGTTAGATGAGGTACAAAATGAGGACGAATAATAAAAATACGCCAAAAGAGCGCGCAGAAAATGGCAGTTTTCCGTGCGTTCGTCTTTCTGACGAATTTCTGGCGAGAATATGGCAAGAGCCGGACGTTATTGTTATTGACACAGCTTGTCGCGAGAGATCGTCAAGTTCCCTGCCGTCGCTTTCCGGTTGTCGACCGGCAGTCACAAGAATGCAAAAATCACGCGCGAAAAAGGCGAGGAGAGAGGGAGAGAGAGACAGGGTTTCGAGTTCCGCTCGTGTCCGAGACTGAACTTCCGCGAGCACTTTCGATTCCCGAGCGAATCTTAATCGTTATGCCCGACCGCAATTAAGAACAGCAGATACGACGCGTTCAGGAAAGCACATTACTTTCTCCTCCGTTGCTCCTGCCCGCCGCGTACACGTAAACGTCATACTCCGACGCATATCTGCGAGGCGTCGCAAAACTATCGCCACTCCTTTCACCTGCAGATTGTATCTATCGGCAATTTGGATCGCCGATCTTGCCCGACTGAAGAGCTGATTGGGGAAATCTTCCCGACGATCCCGTCGGGAGATTCGAGCTGGCACGAGCAGCGGATAAACGCGCGAACGTCAAATAAATTTTTTTCGCCCGTTGGAATAAAAATTCGCTCACGGGCCGGCTCGCTGAACTCGATAGCGGATTATTCGCCTACGGGCGGAGGGGTAAAATATTTTCGACGAAATTAGGCCGGGCGCATTAACGAACGGAGTTTCCTATTTCGTTACACAGGATGGACGGCCGGCTTTACCCGAGTATCCCACCATCGATATTATCATTCGCCGCGGCGTAATTGAAATTCACGGCGCAATTAAAGAGGAATAAAGATTAAAATGTATATACGTCGGGCGCGCAGAGTGTTGCCCGTTTGAAATCCGGCGAACCGTTCTTTCGCCGCTTCTCGGGGGCCCGCTCGTTCGGCCGCTAATAAAATCTCAGTTCCGCGTCCATTTGCACGCAGCAAAAAATTCGCACGGCAACGGACTCGCACGGTCGAGTATTATCGAGCACGAGTGAAATCGATAATGACGCAATACTCAGAAGATCGCCACGAGAAGTCCGTTGCCCTCGAACGTTGAATGTAATTTCTAACATCGAACGTGCTTAGACGTGGCGCATTATTAGAACATAACGTAACGACCTAACGACAAGATCAGTTAGCGTTCGTTGAAATTATCGCGAAACTGTAAGCGCGCGCGCGCGCATGTATGCGTGTGCACGTGCAGCGAGCGCACACAACGCCGCGATGCAACGCGAGGAGACTGTACACGCTCGTTGGGCGAACGACCGGCTCTCTGTGAAAGTGAAAAAAATGACGACGATTCTGCGATGCGTGAATTATAGCCGCGCGGCGCACAGGTATCACAACTCTTTCCTACGCCGAGATGCGGTGCACTTCCGCTTTTCTATCGGCGCTGCGGTAATAATAAGGAAGAAAGTCTCCTCTGTGTATGTGTGTGTATATCAGTGCCATTGCGCGCCACAGCCTACGCGACGTGTGCAGCTCGCTTTGTGCTTACGTATCTCTCTCTTGTCTCTACCGACGGATGCACACGCTTTTATTTCCGGAGCGATTTGCATAACAACCGTTTCGTAATATCACACAAGTGAAAGAGCGGACTATACCAATTGCTCTATGTATATCTAGACGAAAGTCTAATCCGCGTCTATTCTGTGAATGATATTCTCTATGTACGAAAAGTATTAATAAAGCTGTCTAAATAAATCAACTCCCGACGCACGGAACTCGCGTTGAAAATAAATAACGCAATAATACGATTTCTCGTGAAAAAACATACAGTAGATGGTAAATGTAGAATGAAATATTTTTCTCATATACAGTATGTGGGAAAAGCAATATCTAAGAAATAAAAAATATTTATTCAATTGATACTAATAACACTTATTCTAATATAACATATATATTCTTAATATAAAAAAAATAAATTTTCCTAAAACTTTGAAAAACTTTCTAAAAAAAGCAGCTGTTTGTACTATTTAAATAGAATAATTCAGATTTTTAAATAAATATATATTATTAGTAGTCGGCGAATAAATATCTTTTCATCTTTTAAACATCTTTTTTTCTTTTAATGTATTTGTGCATGAAAAATATCTTAATTTCTATTGTGATTCTTTCACAGGAAATCGTATCCCTTTCTCCTTATATTTTAGCAAAATTCCTATTTTTGCAAAGTATATTTCGTTTTTATTTTTTTATCGAAAGCGAAGCACCGTCCTGATAAGAGGTGCCACTTTACGGCTCTCTCATAACAAAAGGAGAGGCCAATCGCGTAAACTAGAAATTTCTGTGCCATTATCTACTTCAACTCCAACGTTCCAACCCCGTTCCACGTTTGTTCGCGGAAGCTGGGACGGCCTCTTATCCGTCGCTGCGGGTGTCGGTGACGCGACTGTGAAGCGAAGGCAATTATCGTAGCAAAACTTGAACGTGGCAGCGCTTCGAGGACGGGCTTCGGCGGTGTGTGGGAGTGAGTGTTTGGCGTCTGATACGACGGGTCAGGTCCCCGGGGATTCTCAGGGACTCAAACGGGACTATCCCGCCTCCTCTCTCTCTCTCTCTCTCTCATCGCAGTTAATTACCAGTCCTTCTCGGCCGCGCGCCTCGGATCAGCGCTTCTCTTTCTCACCCCGTTTCCCTTAGCCCGACCCTTCTCGAACCAATGTCGCCGTTCATAGAGCTGCCGCCGAGCGATTCATCCTCGATAATTCATGACCGTGTCGTTTCGTACTGCTACAGGAGACTCCGTTTTTTTTTCTCCGAAGAGAACAACACGAAATGTCGCATTCGATAAAATTGTTACGAATAAACCGTGTTATGCGGTGCGGAAGTAACTTTTTTGCAAGCACATTTACGCACGCGAAATGCAAGAGGGATTACCGTTCCCCGAATATAATATATCGCTGAGATCGATTTATCTCAGATTAATACTGTCGTAATCGTCCTCGAATCGTAACAAAAATTTCTACCAATTATTGTTGGCTAGACTTTCTCTGCTTTCTATTAAACATATCTTAAAAGAGAGAGAAAGAGAGACGCATCTTACGCGAAACGTTCTTCTACGCCACGAAAAGAACCGCGCGAATACCTGAGAAAGAAATATTTTTTTTTCATGCGATTAATGGATTCGATTCGTGCGATTCATTCGTATAGAATGCGCCTGGCACGACGCGCGACAAAATATACATTCGCACAACGTGTTATATATAGAGATTTCGTATATACATACATATATTTTAAGAGTAACGTGCAATCAATAGGCGACGAGGAAACCCCCGTGGGAATCCAAGCGAGCGAATCGTACCGGGATTGAACGCTTGAAATGGAATAATATCCAATAATCTGGCAGCCGAGAGAACGGGATAAAAAGGGACGTTTTATCGAAGCATCGCAGCATCCAAGCGGTATCCGACCATTTCCGCCAAGCTCGCTTTCGCCCGTTCTCGGCTAGCCGGTAAAATTAATTATTGATTTCGGATACGCGCATTCAGCCGGCGAACGCTTTTAATCGAAAACGAGCCATCCGTCGCACCCATTTCCGACCGCTGCGAATTTAACAACGAAGCGGTCTGGAAATGCCTCTGTGTTATACCTTCACCGTCGTGGCGAAAAGCTGCCGTATCTGATTATTCATTATAACTCTTTCCACGTGACTGTTCGAGGCATTCGACGTAACGTCAGACGATAGATATGTCCAACAATTTATGTTTTACTGATTAGATTGACGTTTTACGGATAAATCGATTAAAATACCAATATACTATCAAATATTATCTTGCTAAAAGTGTTTTCGTAAAAAGAAAAAAAATTTACATATTGTGTATATATATGTATGTGTGTGTGTGTGTGTGTTTATATTTGTGCGACTTCTCGAAAATAGATAGCAGTTTATTTCTTTCTTTCTCTCTCTCTCTCTCTCTCTCTCTCTCTCTCTCTCTCTCTCTCTCTTTCTCATGTCTGTCTGACGTTACGACGCGACGCCAGGAGAATAAATGGAAACAATTTCGTAGGAATATGTATGGGAAGAAAGGAAAGTACCTCTGGAGATGTACCTTGGAGTTTCTTGCGAACTGTTTTTACTCGATAAAGGAGGTAGCAGGCTGGGACATTGGGAAGGTGTTACCGGCTGTCGATCTCGCGAGATCTTCTAAATTGGCGTTGTAGTCTATCAACTAAATTGAACAAAAACCAAAAAGAAATTATTTTACAGAACCTGATTTATATTAAGCAAAACATAGGAACGTAATATGGAAGGCTGTAGGAGCACTATAGGACGATTTATAAATCCACTCCAATGATTTTTTTTCTTTTTAATATTTTCTCTCTAAACAAGGTAAATGGGACTGTTAGATATAACAGAAGTAAAGTATTCGTCCTGTATAAAGTAGAGATATAATTTATAATTATGCTGTTCCATGTAAGAAATTCATTCATTCTTTCTACAACTTGGTATGACAGTACTCGCAATGATTTATACATACGCAATAAACAATTCTTAAGCAATATCTTTAATCACCTCTTGTAATTCAGCTTTAGCAAACATGTGAAACAGTTGCCCAGGTGTCATCGTCATCACCTCAATATTAGTGTCATTGAGTTTCTCTTCCATCACTTGCTTCAATATTGTCAGCGCAGCTTTCAATGCTTCCTTAAGTGTCATGGACTGCAATAACAGTCAAGGTAATGTCCAACGTTGAGATAAATTTATACGATTTACTCATATTTAAGTAATAGACTAAATTACCTTGTGGTACACTTCTTGAAGGTTCTGCTGAGCACCCTCACTACCAGATCCTATAGCCTTTGCATCAAACTGAACAAAAGTACCAGATGGATCCATATGATACAACTGTGGACCTTTCTCATCAATCCCAGCAAATAACATCGCTACACCAAACGGCCTGGACATAGCAGTGCCATCATCGTCGCTATCTCCGAATTGTATGGCTAGATTAGACACAGCTTGAGCAGTTGACTCCACCGTCATCTTTTCGTTGTACACGAACCAATGATTCTGGCATTCAACTCGAGCTCTATCGATCATTGTCCTCGAGTCTGCCATTAGACCAGATGCTGCACATCCTATATGCTTGTCGATTTCTACAATTTTTTCTACTGTTGTCGGTTCCATTAAAGTAGAGGTAATGCGTTTCTCCACTGCCAGAACTACTCCTTCTGCTGTTGCAATTCCGATGGCTGTGGAACCAAGTTTTATGGCTTCTATAGCATACTCCACTTGAAATAATCTTCCTTCTGGCGAGAAGGTGTTCACGCCACGATCGTATTCCGAGCGTGTCAAAAACATCTGAAAACAAAGACGAATAAGTGTTTAGTATGACGTTTCAGAAAAACTTAGTTTGAGGTTAGGCGGCGGTATTCATAACTCCAACACATTTCGTAATATTACGAGGGAAAAATATTAGTACAAAATTATAATCTATACTAGAATGTCTTAACTTAGTTGAAACAAATCTAAACTTTAGCTAACGAAGTAATGAATTGAACATGTCACTTTACCAAGAGTGACATAGCAAAATGAAACCAAAGTTCCATAAATGAAACCTGCTCTCGTAACGAATGTAATACTTTGTATGTTACATTTTCGAAATGAACTACGGTTACCTTCCGACTGCTTTTCTTCTTATTAATAACGGACGCAAGTGTACAAACGTGGACCCGTCACAAACGCGAGTCACGAAACGTTGCGTACAATTAAATGTAATGGCGGGGACGCAGCAGCAGCTATGTAATGTCAGGAAAACAAACTTCAAGATGTCAAAGTCATAGGCCCATATTCTGAATCCTCTTTTATCTATGGCTGCGTTCCGAAATTCACTTCCAGTGCTGAAATTCTATAGTATACGTGACATGAACTATACATTTTCAGTACTGGCAGTACATTTCGGAACGCAGCTTATAAAAGACGCTTAGGAGTCACCTAATTGGCTGAGAAGCTATTTAAGGTACTTTTAGTGATAAAAGAAGATTCAGAATATGGGCCATAGAATACAATGGGTGCGTTCAGCAGATAAAAGCATTCAGTGAGACAGTACTACAACTGCTTACTGAGCTTTTGCATCTGACTAGTGTATATTTTTAGATCTAAAAGAATATGTCAATAGGATACACGAGCTCACTAAGTGCTTAATGAAGTAGTACTCAATGGCTGTAGTACTTCGATCGATATGTTTATGACGGCTGTTCCACGCAGAGATCGAAATTCGAAAACCACGCGTCGATTGAGTACTTCGACAATTCCGCTTTTATTGTGGTGGCGTTGCAAACTACACGCCCACAAAATGGCAGCCGCCAATACGTGAGCTCGTAAGAAGTGCGTAGTCTGTACTTTTTCGCTGCACTGCTGCAATAAGTAGAGTAAGACGAGTAAATTTTTCTCACTCTAACTTAGGCTGCGTTCAGATTCCACATCCGGGTGTATTCTATTACTAGAAGTGCTATAGTATATGTAACATATACTATAGTGTTTCTAGTAATAGAGTGCACCCGGATGAAGAATCTGAACGCACCCTATATTGGCGCTGTCATTTAGTGGACACAAGTCACGTGCACCAATCACGCGGAATCCCCGAATGTCCAGTCTCTACGCGCTTTATACATTTCTCTCTCTTTTGCTAACAGACCAACACAAAATCAGTTTATTGGTTGCATATTATCTTACAAGATATTTTAGATAATATGTGACCAATAAACTGGTCTTATGTACGTGTGTGTCAAGATGTGTTAAGCAATTGGAAAGCACCCTATGACAGACATTGACTCGACACGATGCAACAAGCACCAGTAGCATTCACTAGGTTCGTTCGCGTTGCTTGCACTTTTGACACTTTTGCACCTAATGTCCGTTCACATCAGACACGATGAGCGAAATTCAATGAGAACTCTTCTTTTTAAAAATAAGTCCAACAGGCATTAATCGTAAGGGTGGAGTTTCATGGCACGTATTTTCGCGTAAAGCCCGTATCAGACTACCGACTGCACAGGCCGACCCGACTGCCGACTCTCAATGGACCAATCGCTGACTTGGCGCCTCACTGTGATTGTCTGATACGGGCTTAACGCGTAACCGCGTAACCAATCACATCTTTCTATTCTTTTAGAAGTTCCAACAGAAATACTAAACGTTGCAATTTATTGGTGACGCGTTTACGCGAAAAATACATGCCATGGAACTTCAGCCTCAAAGTGCTAAAAGTGTGCTAAAAACGCGAACACATCTACCTAAGCCAGCAGCACACAATGCTTGTTTTTGTGCTAGTTTGCTAGGTGGATGGAATTGCATCAATCAAAACAGAATATTTCCAGAATATTAATCAGTTCATATAGTTCAACTAAAAAGAACAAAGTTTTAACCGAAATAACGGATAGTGATTGGCTGATATGTGGTACCAATCACGTTCATTTATTGTTCATTCATGAGAAGGTATCTGTAGATAGAGGGCTCTAGTGCATGTGTTATCGATGACATCTCGCACATGCACGTAATAGCAGAATAAACTTCAATTGATATAGGAATGATCTGTTAAAAAATAATAACATTTTAATAATGTCTATTGTCGATGCACAGCAATTGAAAGCGATTATACATGAGGAAAATTGGGATCAACTGTTGGAACTTGTCAAACCAAAGTACTTTGTCAAGCAAGAGGCAAGGTATGTATAAAATATTTTGTTAATGTATCAATTGATATTGAATAATTTTACAGGTTGATTGTAACATTTCAGGGAACCACCTAATACGGCTATTTTAGCACAGATATGTCAGATACTTATTACTGAAACCAGCCCTAATATGGTCAAAATATTGTGTTTAAAATGTTTGGGAAACTCTTGTCTCGATAGCTATAAATACAGACAGTATACATTAGAAAATAGAGAATCTGATAAATATAACAAATACTTGTATGATAAACTAGCTGAAAATAATGTATATGAATATGAAAAGGATTGTGATTATCCATACAGTTCTCATTTTCCTTACGATGGAATCATAAAGTGGACCATAAATTATATTAGTGCACATGATGAATATGTAAGCTGTTTGACTGATAATGAACTAGATATCTTTAGGCTCAGTATACAATTTTTATGTAATTTATTTACATATGCATGTAAGAATGCAACTACTGTGGAGAATGAGGATGTTCTAGCATATTTAAATCATAATAATTTGAAACAAGCTATAATGTAAGTTTATATACATAAACATGACTGTATATAAACAGTTAATGCTGTTTATATACTTTGGTCTTTATAATTAATTGTTTCAATTATTTTTAGGAATAGCATTCAGTCTGATCACAAGCTTCTTGCCAATGCAGCTTGCATATTTGTACATAATGCAGTAAAACAATTACAAGAAAATTATTTCACAGATGATGAAAAGAATCATCTGTGTTCCCAATTGTTAAAACCAATCAAAGAAGGTTTTACATCTGCAAAAGATGCATTATTATACATATTACATTACCCTAATGTATTTGAAACTACATACAATAACATGGCTGTGAATGAGAAATTAGATCTACTTGAAATAATTTATGATGAACTCTGGCAATCCACGCATCAAACTGTGTCGACGCTCACAAATGATGCAGCTGAATTTCTAGCATTAACATTTTGTAAGAAAAGTGATCTTATTTTAAAAACTGTAGACACGTATGTAGACAGTATAGATCCTACAGAAATAATTCTTATCCTCAACATCTTGGGATCCCTTACACTAATGCCATACAAGATTTCAAAAAATGCCAGGCCTTTGATTATTAATTGTAAATGTAAGTGCATTATTGTTCCCCCTATATATTTTAATCAGATATTAAAGCAATGTAATATAGTTGAAGTACATTTGCAGATCTTTTAATGTCCTTACACATGATGGGGAAAGAATCGAACAATTATTTTACTCCGATTACGAATTTAAGTCAAGTGGCACCTAATATTCAAAGGAGAACAATTCACGTAAATTCAACGACAAATGATGCCAGTGTAACTGAACAAACTACAAATCACGATCCACAGGATCATCCTGTGTATGGTTTTAAATCAGGACTAATAAAAGTTATTGGAAACATGGTGTACAGGAACAAGATGTATCAAGATCTGGTAAGTAGATTGCACATGTACATTTTCAAAATTAAATATAATTTCCAAAAAGGAAAATGTACAATTTCTCTAGTATCAATATGTATCTAGTGTGAATAAAGAAGATTCCTTGTTGATTTTAAACGTGGTTCGAGGGAACCGTCAAGGTGCGCCCCATGATTTCATATGGCCACGAGAAGAATTAAAATACAAGATAGATCGATGGTCGATATATTAATTTAAAAAATATAATTATTTGTAAACATTTTCGCGACATATATATCGAATCAATTAATCATTATTGAATCAAGAAATCATTTTATTGCATTATATAATTTGTATTTTTTAATCATGTAACTGATTTATCAAAACGTATTTACAATTAATAACTAGTGTCTGACATTCTCCGATATCGTTTGTAACACGATAAATTACTTTTGAACGCAAGAAATCTTCATACAATTGCAAAATATAAATTTGCCTTTTGTTACGTGTCGTACGGAACAAGAAATCGATACTTCTCCGACTGATTACATCTTGCATAAGTGATACGCAAACAAAAGATACGCAGTAGTACACACGTCCTGTCGCGTCAGACAAAGCGAAATTAAGTATCCTGTCTAACTGTGAGATGTAGCATAGTAATCGGAATCTGATACACGTTGCAAATTTAGCAAATCCACGGGATAACAAAGTTTGCGTCGCGCGCATATCGACAGATAAATTAGTTATGATGAATCAGAGCGGAAACCTGAGCCTGCGGGCGGAGTATTAATTCAGCCTTTCAGTGTCAAGGATGACAAAGACACATGTTGCTCGTCACGATGGTAGAATGTAGATAATTTTTCTTTTATATTCATCAAACGCACAATATAATATATATCGTTGCTGACTGAGAAAATATTTTTGGTCTCGCGAGCTATTCGTATGTTGTTCGGAAAACAAAACAAATGCATATATATAATTTCAGTTTCGTGAAATAGATGGAATTCCATTACTTTTGGATTGCTGTAACATAGACGCGAGGAATCCGCGTAAGTTGAATTTTATCTCATTTTATCGCCAGTTTTTTTTTTTTTTTTTGTTATATATTGTCTTTAGTGATAATTTCCACACAGTTATATTGCAATGGACCATACTCGCTCTGCGAAACCTGTGCGAGGGAAATCTCGAGAATCAAGAGATCATAAGAAATTGTAAAAAGGAAGGTGTGGCAGAAAACGCTGTGCTGCAAGAGATAGGATTGACTTTGCACGAGGACGCGGATGGCCAGTCAGTCTGTATCGCTCCTTTACGTCGCGATTAGGAAAACTTACTATCGCAGCGTGACTACGGCCGGCAGCCAATAACCTGTTGTAATTATCAAACTATTACTCGCGATAGTAGCTTGTATCGATAATATCTCGGATAAGATACAATGATCATTTTATCGGTGTGTATGAATAATTATTATTCGAGCTAGATCTCCCGCGGCCGCAACTGGAAATGTATCCTGCTACACGCGCTCGCTGAAAAACGATCCCACAATTACAACACACGATCTGTACCATTAGGCGAAATACGATATCGTATTGCATAGAGATATTTTATCTACATTCATGGCCGAGTGATTTACGATAGAATAAAAGCTGACGCGAGGAGTTTATGGTCTATTAGCAGTTGCTAATATAAGTACACTACTGGCCGCACTATCGCTGCGATCATTCACAATCGCATTTCAAAGTGGGATTTGTTTTCATGAAACAATAACCGTCTCCTAAAACATCGGATACGTACAATGTGTGATAATGGATTCCCTTTAAAAGGAGCGCTCTCCGAGAAATCAATAAATAAATGAGTAATAAGCGGCTCTCCGGTAAACCGGCGTTACCCCTGTCCTCTTGTGAAACCGTGTAATCATGACACGCGTGTTCAAATAAATAATTCCTTTAATTAACATGCACGTCGCACTGAATTAATTTTGCCTCTCGCCTTCACGATCCGCGACTTAAAACGATAATTTCCCATGTCGCGGCCGTTTCTCGCCGCGAACAATTTTACGATGAGGGACGATGACGTCGTCCCGTAATAGGTGTTTATTAATGTCATCCGCGCGCAAGCAAGAAACCGTGGTGGGTGAGAAATCCGCCTGCGCGCGCCGACTTATGCGTTAATTATACCGGAAGTTTCGAAACACAACAGTTACGTTTTCCTTTCTAATGGAATTCTCGAGGGGAGGGAGACGGCGCGCAACGGTATCGCGGATAATAATCGGTAAATAAATAATATTGGATAATTATCTCGGGACACATATATGTGCATACGATCCGTATTTTAGCGGTAACGGCCGGTGCACCGCGACGGATTTACGAAATGTAATGATACGTTTCCGGACGTAATACGCGATCTAATCGAGCATAACCAATCGCTGATTTATGGCGAGGTTTCAATAAAGAACAATTTTATGCGGCGTAGATTGCGGGGGATAGTTACGGCGTAACAGGAGTTCCCGCCTTCAATTCCGTAAACATTCGTGCGTTCATTAACATTACGATCGAGCAACGCTCGCTGCACAGATGTCCACGATATCTGCAGCGACATTATTTGTCGGTTCTTTGATCACTAACTCAACTCTGCGCTGATCAGGATAATGGATTAATAAACAAAGGACATCGTGCCACGTGCAAGTCACGAGATGAAACATCCAATTATTGATCACTGACATTTTAAAAAAAGTCTACTTTTTTGCGGCAAGCGCTTGTTCACAGTTTTAATTGTGACATTCTCTCTTGGAATTATTGAATGCAGGCAAGCAGTTTAACTGCAATAATGGTCGCATGAAGAACCAATATTTTTTTCTAGAGTATCGATGACGAAGGGGATGTCAATAATTGAGTGTTTCACTTTACACGCCAAATATCCTCGAACAATTCGACTATAAAACAAAAGTACCCGGACATGTGCCTAATTCTAGACATCCTCACTGTCTTGGTCTTTAAAGAAATCTGAATATTTAAATCTTGGACATTAAAACTATTTATGCATATATTGGATGCACACATACATTCTATATCGAAAGTTTAAGCATTTATAATGAGCAAAACAATAAGAATGTCCAGAATTAGGTACGTGTCCGAGAATTAGTGCTTTTGCCTTACTATAACCGATGAGATGCTGCTTCTCTGAATTTCGCACGTTTCGCGCATAAAAGCAGGCGAATTATACGCGCCGCATCCCACATGTATGAACCGCAATAAATTGCTTTTGATTTAAATATCGGCCCATCTCAGGCCGATCAATCTTGGACGTGCGTAATGGAGAGCAGTTAACGCAAAATTTATCAGTTAATTACATACGCGGTTAATTGCGAGGAGTAATTATTTCCGCGCAAAAAGCGCCCTCGCTACACCTCGATCACTCGCGCACACGCACGTACCTACGACATACGAGAGGAGATCGAGGAAGCGAGATGAAATTCCTGCCACGTGAGTGCAGCCGCGCGGTCAACGTATCGATGGTGATTTCTTCGCGGTCTCTTTTCAACAAGAACGCGAGCTTTCTAGAAGCTGAAGTGGAAACGAAGCTGAGCGAGACACAAACGGAGTACGACTCATTGCGCTCATTAAGCGGGGAAATTTTACTGTTCCGTTTTTTTTTTTCGCGAGTGTAAGTTTCGTCGAGATCACGAGGTGTCAGTCGTCCGAGCGAGACGCCTACGTGCGATAAAATTCGATCCGGAGTAATTAACTGAATTCAATGTAATAGCGCGTTCTGTAAGAGAAATAAAAAATCCACAGCGCAACGGCGTTCGAGGATTTCGTCGATCGCCGGAGCCTTATTAATATTCATAGACGCTGACGAAGGAAGCGTAAAAAGCGCTCGGCCGTACGTGAGATCGCTCAGGTGCGTAAATTCTGACCGCCTCCTTGATAATCAACTCGTTGACGCAATAAATTCCGGCGAAAGATACTCGAACAGAGCTGCTTGGGGAACGCGAGGAACAGCCGGCCTCCGCTAATGTTTCCTGTTTGTTTCTAATTATAGTTCGAGTTATACGCGAATAGTTTATATCGTAATTTTCGACTTAGAGAAATATTATGTAGAAAACGTGTGCCTGAGTAGTCTCACTTTTGGCATTTACAATCAAATAGAGAGAGGCAATGTAACTATTAGAATATCAGTAACTAGATGGATAGAAATAAGGAACAGATATGCGTGATTAAAAGATTAACAATCGTAAGGCAAGTCGCCTTCTTGGCTATGTAAGTTGAAGGAAAATATACGAATAACTCTCTCTCTCTCTCTCTCTCTCTCTGAATAATTGGTACGATTAGTTCGGCAAACGAACTAGATTCGAGCGTTAACGAACGAACGGAGCCGTCCGTCGGTGCCTAATAAGTCGTGTGGATTCTCATTGAAAAGCTACGGGAAGTTCGAACGGACTCGCGCGCCTACGCAGGGCTTCTCTTAAAGAGCCGACACGGTGTGATATATTTCCCTCGTGTGCCTCTTGCGTATATCGTGCCGTCGCGTTATTCATACGAAAGAATACGAGCCAAGCTTCGAACGCACCGCGCGCGGTCGCCCTCGTTTCACCGAAAACTTTGAAGCTAGTGGGATAAGGTAAAAGTACCGATGTCTACACTAATACTAAAATAATAAGAATGCCCAGAGTTAGGTACCAGTGTTATTAGGCACCGGTGGTTTTATCTTAAGGGTCGGTCATAAATCGCTGTGAATTCTACGTGAAATGGGACGTTTTCTTCGTGAAGAAGAAAGAAAGGAGGATTTGTTCCTGTTTTGCGTTTGTTCTAAGAAAATTGGAGGAGAGATTGGACTCAACCCTCGAGCCGTAACAATGCCGTCTGTGTCGTCGCTTCAGGAGGATCGGAAGAAGAATCGGGGGAAAATGACGGGACGTTATGTGCCTAATCATAAACGCAAACAGGGCTCGCACCGAGAGCATATGGACCGCGCGATGTGTTTTAACGACTGCCGCACACGGTGCATAAGCCGTAAATGTTACGCCAAGCCGGGGATTCGTGTAATAGCCACTAAAAGCGAGGTTCGTCCCTTTATGGATCGTAAAGGCAGGGATATTTGGAACGGGGGAAACCGTCGAATTGACCCGCTCGCAGTTAACTTAAAGAGAGGAAAGCACAATCGCGTCTCTTTTTCTGGGTGCACCGAGGCATCCCAGAGAACGCCTTCGTCAGCTCGACGATTTCTGATTTTTTTTAACCGTGGATCGTGTTTTATACTCTCTAAATTTCTTAGAGTGAGCCTTCACTCAAAAAGTAGAGTGATAGCCGAGTCAATCAAATTTGAGCTATTTTTCACTCCTACAGAGTGAATTTTTTTTCTCTTGTTTTATTACTCGTATATTATTTTATCTCTAGTGAGATTTGGAAAGTGCATTGATGTATCTCGCGAAATATTCTTGAAAAAAAAATATACTCTAATTTTCTCGCATGACGGTGCTGTAAGAACGCAGGGGGAACATCTGAAAGGTATCCGAAACACGTTTGACGTGTTAGACAATGTTATGCGAATTATGCCCCGTCGGCCGCTAATTGCACGACTCGCTTTCAGCCGCGTTTCAGTTTACACCGGGTAAATTAATCCCCGTCCGATTTCGGCCGCGCGCGTATTGTCCGCGCGATGAAAAGTCCGCTCTAATTATCCCGTGTAAATGGAGCCTCGCGTCGATTCCTCGAGACGGGCGCGATGTTATCCCGTAAACAACGACAATAGGGCCCGTGGGCTTGCCAGCCCTCATGATGCCAGCCGCTCCGATCCGCCGGCCGTCGAGTTAATTAATCGCGCTCAACGATCTCCATTGAAATGGAATCTGGATAAATTTTCCGTGCTGATGCTGCTGGCTAGCATGTGGGCATTATCTTTACGACCTCTCAAAGAAGAGGACGTACACGGGGTCGGGAAGGGGACGGACGCATGCGCGCGATACGGCCGCCGCTGGAAACGGTGCACCAAAACCGGAGAACCTGTTATCAGAGGAACAGTGGCTGGGACCTGGGCCAATTATAATGCAGGCGAGACTCTCCGAGGTCTCGTCCGCGACGTAGCCGTCGTCATCGTCGTCGTTGTTCTCTTCGTCGCTTTTAATTTCGAGTCTTATCCGTCATTCGTTATAGGCCATATCGCGACTCACCGCGTGCTCTTAATTGTGTCCGACATTGGTCCGACAACGTCGTGGATTCGGAGAGGAGCCCGTGATAACCGAACGAACCTCGCGATCGTCCACGTGACCGATTCAACCACAAAGACAACAACGTGCGCACGTTTTGTCAGCGTTACAAGTTGTGAATATGAACGATGGCCGAGGTGTTTCGCGTCCGACGTATTCTCGATACGTAGTGTTATCTAGCACGACGAGGTGTAAAAGTGCCCAGGACACGTTGGAGACGACATTGGTGAAGCGGCTCCGCGACGCGCGGGATTGAACGCGGAGTCAGGTGGAGAGTGACTCGGAGGAAATGCGTCCCCTTTCGCCGTCATTTTTCAGGACACGAGGCGGTTGAAATTTATCGCGCTATTAGTGAACACTGCCGAGGATATTGCACGTCAGCCCGTCGACGATGTACGGCGGCCGAGATTCGGGAGACTTTCAATTTCTCCGATACCCGCGTAACGCGTGACTGTATGAGCGACAGGCACGTGAGTTACCGATGATACTCATCGAGAAGAAAGCGCCGTGGCACTTATCAAACAAGACCGAGTGGCCCAATTTGTTTGTCGCGTGGTTGAGAGACGGCAACGATGATTTATGCAAACGGATGGATCACCGGCCAACATAATCCGAATTGGTAGTCACTATCGTACTATTGGTGTCACACTATTGTACTCGGAACGCGCGTTGTCGTACGTTCGCGCGAAAAAGGTGAACCTCACTGGTGGTGATGAAACATGTGGTAGTTGCTTAATCGCGATACGACA